AAAATTTTATTAAAATTTTTTAGAAACTTATTAAAATTTTAAATATGCAGGCAAATTTGCCTGCATTACAATTTAAGAGATAATATCTTTTAATATTAAATATTATAGATAGATCAAAATCAAAATATTATAAATTAAAACAAAAAAGCTTATATAAAATAAGAATCAAAGTTAAAACAATATAAAATTTAACAAGTATTGATGAATAACTTAAAATTGAAGTTTAATAAAGAAATAATTTGCAAGTTTTGTTATAAATTATAATATCAGAAAAAGAGCATTAAAAATAAAATAAAATATTATAATAAAATATAAAAAATTGATATCTAAGAATATTTGTTTTAATTTATTTCAAGAAATTCAAAATAAGATAGATTTTATATTATCTGAATTATTTATACTATTCATTTCTAAAAGACAAAAAACATTTAATCAAAATTATTAACTTTAAATATATACTATAATACAATAATTGCTATTAATTAAACTAGAGAAATAAAAGTTAATAAGATATTAATTAGCTGGATTATATGTTTTAATATTTTATTTTTAATTATTGATTTTTCTTATTTTAAGAATTTTATTAAGTTATCAAATTTTGCATATAATTTATCTAAGTATATTATATTGACAACTTTACATATTGATACTAAAATAATAAATATTATATTAAAAGTAAATAAGAAATAAATAAAATCTAAAAATCTTACTCTTTATATTGATAGTTAAAATAATTTATTGGAATATAGTATATACTGTATGTATTCATTATAATAATGTAAGAAAAAAAGAAATATATATATTCTTTATAAGATTTTTTGAAATTTTTATATATAAAAGGTTTTAATATCAACAGGATAATCAAAGTATTGAAAAGTTGAATCTGAAAAATTTGTAGCAGTGATATCAAATGTTGAAATAATTATTATAGCAGTTAAATATCAATTTTAGCAAAATATTCATATATTTTATCAATATAATATATTGCATATCACATTCAATTAATTTTAAAAAAACTTATAGTATTTCTTTTGTAAAAAAAACACTTTCTAACTGTCAAACAATAATCAGTTTTTTTTGAAATTCCTATTTTACTAGTGTTATACTTAGAAATGAAATTATATGTTTTTTTTTACGATTGTTGAAGGTCTAAAGATAACAACTAAAATGCAATGGTTAACAGCATGGACTTTTTGTGAATCTATATTATGCAATGAAACAAGCATCAAATTGATTAATTTCTATAATTTATTTAAAAAATTTTTGATCTCACCTATTTTACAAGATCATAATTGTATTTTGCTATATGATTGATTTTATTATATGGTTATATTTTGCTACACAATCATATTTTATTGGTTCACTATCATCAAAATAAGGCAATTAGTTAGTTAATATGATACAGGAATATAAATTAACTTTGATAGACATGTCTTTACTTCCTACGTGGATTTCACTCGCTGTTTTTCTTGCTTTAATCGTTTAAGCAATTCTTGATTTTTAGGTGTAGAGCAAATTTGATGAGGCAGAGTACGTGGTATATCACACCCGGAACTATTGACATCGTTTACAGTATATCACTAGTCATTTACGTAGCTCCAATTGGCATCTCCAAGGATTGTGAACCTAATGATGGTGTAGCTTTCGAATGTGTAAATCCTTCGGCTCTATTATTGTTTAATAAATCGTCATCCTCCAAATCTTCGCCGATGGTTTTGGCCTGCTCACGCAAAAAATAGTAGAAATTTTTAAAGGAATTCACTACCAATAATAAGGTTGCATTCTATACAAATACTTTTTTACCTTTTTTGAAACGGTCGAGCCGACCGATTGATTATTCTTTAGATATAAGAAGTAATCATTAAAAATATTTATATAAAATTCAATTTTAAAGCTACCTTTATCAGACAGTCAATATTTTGTAGATTCTCACAACTTATAGAAAAAAGCGCTTTTATACCTTTTTTCTTTTAGAATTATCAACTGTTCCTGAATTAATCAGAGAATTTATAGTACTCCCGGTAATTGTCGGGTTGTATAGATTAACTGAGGGTTTACTAGCTGATTCACTTTCATTAGATTTCACCCATTTTCTGAAATATTTAGAAGACTTAATAATATTCTTGACTGGTGACTTAAAATATTCCGTCTAATTTTCATCCCACCAAGTTGCCCCGCAGGCTTAACATCAAATGAGCCCGCAGTTCACCTGATGCCCCGGTGGTGCAAGTGTTAGGTCACCCCTCAGGTTTGAACATCAGACAAGCTCACAGTTTATCTGTGCCCCAACACTTGTTTTGTAACTCGACCCGCAGTCTTGAATGATAGAGAACCCACAGATCCCTACCACGCCACTTATTTCTTTGCATTTCTAAAAAAAAAAGCTCTTTATACTCGCCTTATACTTATCCAGCAACAGTCGTGCCATGTCATATCTTGGACCTTTCTCTGTTTTGAGGTTATCAGCCATGGTCTCGAGAGATAGAAGATAAACTTCTATTTTTCGTTGAAGTGCTTTCTCCTGTAATTCCTCTAAAAACTCATGAATATTCCATTTCGTAGGTGTTCGACCGAAATATTTGTGTGCTCCGTTAAATGTGCTCATTTGTGTAGACAGTTCGTTCAAGAAAACGCGTAATTTTCGAGATTTCGTAAATAAGAAATTTTAACCAATCATGTTGCAAGAATAAGAGGCAGCCTGTTAATGGATCATTACCTAATCATTATTTTAAAAAAAATTAATACGAATCGTAAACTTAAAAATGTATATTATAATTAAATCTACCACGATAAACTGGGTGCAAAAAATGTTGGAAGATACAAATCCGTGGCAAATTCTCTTCATCATTTGTTGTAGCTTGCAATACAGTTATGCTGAAACTGACTATTACTAGAAATGGAAGTTTCTCGAATTGCAATCACCATAACAAAAATGTCTGCTAAAGTAGTTGTACGAAACTCAACATTTTTTACAGCTCGTTTTCTGAATCAAGTATGTTTTTTAATTGTTCAACATCGATGATTGTTTATAAGATTTTTTTTAGCATTCACATGACTAAAAATTTGTGGTTCTTGTTCTAACCACCTATTACTGTAAATCCAATTTAGATAATCTATTAGTGATTTATTATAAAATTTGGAATCATATATAAAAATTGTAAAAAGTAATTATTGTCCAAAGCAAAGCGTAGGACTTAAAGGGAGACAACGAGCAGAAAAGTGGTCATTTCCGCATTTTTATATTTAGATACGTTA